GGGTTTGACTCGACGGCACATAACAACAACAACAACAACAAGAAGTACACAAGAGAAAAAGATGTTTCTGATATGGGATACAACATCATTTTGTAACAACTCCAACCACCACCAAAAAATTTATGTATGGTTACTTATGTTTATATGGATATGGAAATACATATATGCACATGTATGTATATACAGATATATCTGTATGTAAGTATACATACATGTTTAAGACTACATGCATATATATTCATCTATATAATAAACCAGATAGGGAGAACAGTTACAGATACTTCTTAGACACAAAGAACTCACGTGATTGGTTTTCTGGGTTTAGAGGTTTAGGACCATAGTCTTGTGGGACAACTCAGTTAATTGGCATAATATAATAATATAGCTCATGAAGTTTATATTCTATATCCTTGTTTGGTTAGTAGTGTCTGGAGTCTCAAAAGCTTATGAGTGACCATCTAAAATACAACTACTGATCTCTACTTGTCTAAAGCAAAAGAGAAAGAAGGACACCAAAGACTCAGAGAAGTCTAAGGACAGAGCAGAAATGCTCAATAGGGTTTCCAAGGCTGCAAATCTTTACAGAAGCAAACTGCCACATCTTTTCCTAGGGAGCTGCTGGTGGGTTCGAACCACTGACCTTTCTGTTAGCAGCCAAGTACACAATCACTGTGCCACCAGGCCTCCTTTATTATTCACTATAAGAAATACATAATATTATGAAGAAAAGGAAAAGCAACTATAGCCAACAACTTAATTATAAATAGCTTTTATATACAGGCAGTCCTTGGGTTATGAACTTTTGACTTTCAAGCAACTCACTGCTCTTTAAAGTTATGAAAATCTGTCCTCAGTCTACACAAACCACAGTCTCACCTGAGAACAGAACTAGATGGTGCCCTGGCTACTACTAATGATCATTCTGGTATCAGGGCCATAACAGAGGGATCCTGAGAGAAATGGAATAAAATGTGGAACAGAACTCAGATTCTTTGAAAGTCCAGACTTATTGGACTGGTTCAGACTAGAGGACTCTCTAAGATTACTACCCTGGGATACTCTTCTAAACTTTAAACCAAAACTATCCTGAGCTCACCCATAGGCTACATAACAGAGTGCCTCATAAAATAAAGAATATCACCTATAAGCACTGTGGTCCATTAAAAAATCATATAAATGGTGAACAATCACTCTAAAGCAAAGATGAGAAGATGAGGGAAAACTGTTTACTGGAAACAGAACCACCAGAAAGGAATCAGTGAGAATGCTGACACATTGTGAAATATGATGTAACCAATGTCAATGGCCTGGAGCTTGAAGGCTGCTTCTGACTTGGATGTGGCTCTCTAGTAAGGCCCTGGCCTGAAGTAGGCAAACCTGGGGCTTGAAAGCTGCTTTTCGCTTGGAGGTGGCTCTGTATTAAAGCCAGGAGCTGACTGTGGAATGGACGATCAACTGCTCATATGCACGTTCAAGTTCAACTTGAAGACAATTAAAACAAGTCCACAAGAGCCAAGATAAGACCTTGATAATATCCTTCCTGAGTTTAGAGACCATTTAAAGAATAGATTTGATGCACTGAACACCAATGACTGAAAACCAGAAGAACTATGGGATGACATCAAGAAAATCATCCATGAAAAAAGCAAAAGGTCATTAAAAAGCCAAGAAAGGAAGAAAAGACCAAAATGAATGTCAGAAGAGACTCTGAAACTTGCCCTTGAGCAGAAAGTAGCTAAAGCAAATGGAGGCAATGACAAGATAGAAGAGCTGAACAGAAGATTTCTAAGAGCAGCTTGAGCAGACAAAGCCAAGTTCTGTTATGAAATGTGCCAAGATCTGGAGTTAGACAACCAAAAGTGAAGAACACACTCGGCATTTCTCAAGCTCAAAGAACTGAAGAAAAAAATTAAGCCTCGAGTTGCAATACTGAAAGATTCTATGGCCAAAATATTGAACGATGCAGGAAACATCAAAAGAAGATGGAAGGAATACAGAGTCACTGTACCAAAAAGAACTGGATGCTGTTCATCCATTTCAGGAGGTGGCGTATGATCAAGAACCAATGATATTGAAGGAAGAAGTCAAAGCTGCACTGAAGGAACTGGCAAATAACAAGGCTCCAGGAATTGACAGAATACCCACTGAGATGTTTCAATAAACAGATGCCTCCTGGAGGCACTCACTCAGTTATGCCAAGAGATTTGGAAGACAGCTACCTGGCCAACTGACTGGAAGAGATCCATATTTGTATCCATTCCAAAAGAAGGTGATCCCACAGAATGTGGAAATTACTGAGCAATATCATTAATATCACATGAAAGTAAACTCTTACTGAAGATAATTCAAAAACGGTTGCAGCAGTATATTGACAGAGAGCTTCCAGAAACGTAAGCTGGATTCAGAAGAGGATGCGGACCAGGGATATCACTGCTATGTCAGATGGATCTTAGCTGAATGCAAAGAATACCAGAAAGATGTTCACTTATATTTTATTGACAATGCAAAAGCATTAGATTGTGTGGATCATAACAAATTATGGAGAACATTGAGAAGAATGGGAATTCCAGAACCGTTGACTGTACTCACAAGGAACCTGTATATAGATAAGGATGCTGTCATTTGAACAGAAGGGGATACTACATTGTTCAAAATCAAGAAGGGAGTACATCAAGGTTGTAACCTTTCACCACACTTATTCAATCTGCATGCCAAGCAAATAATTCAAGAAGCTGGATTATATGAAGAATGTGGTATCATGATTGGAGGAAGACTCATTAACAACCTGCGATATGCAGATGATACAACTTTGCTTGCTGAAAGTGAGGATGACTTGGAAGCACTTACTGATGGAGATTAAAGACTATGGTCTGCAGTATGGATTATATCTCAACATAAAAAAAAAAAAAAATTCTCACAATTGGTCCAATAAACAGCTTCACTGTGGATGGAGGAAAAGTGAAGTTGTCAAGGATTTCATATTACTTGGTTCTATAATCAACAGCAGTGGAAGCAGCAGTCAAGACATAAGAAAACTTACTGTATTAGACAAATTAGCTGTAAAAGATCTCTTTCAAGTGATGAAGAGTAAAGATGTCTCCTTGAAGACCAAGGTGTGCCTAACCCAACTCATGGTATTTTCAATCACCTCTTATGTATGTGAGAGCTGGGCAATGAATAAGGAAGACAGAAGAAGAGTTGATGCTTTTGAGTTGTGATGTTGGAGAAGAATGCCAAGAGTACCATGGTCTGCTAAAATGACAAACAAATCTGTCCTGGAAGAAGTGCAGCCAGAATGCTCCTTGGAAGCGAGAATGGCCAAATTTTGTCTCACCTACATTGGTTATGTTGTCAGGAGGAGCCATTACCTAGAGAAGGATATCATGTTTGTTAAAGTAGAGGGTCAACGAAGAAGGGGAAGGCCCTCAAAGAGACAGACTGATACAGTGGCTGCCAATGATGGGCTCAGGGGTAGCAAGGATTGTGAGGTTGGCACAAGGCCAGGCAGTGTTTCATTCTGCTGTGCACAGGGTCGCTATGAGTTGGAGACAACTCAATGGCACCTAACAACAACAACAACGTCAATGAACACTTTGTACAGAAACTGTTAAATGAGAATCTAATTTGCTGTGTAAACTTTCACAAAAAGCGTAATATTATTTTTTAAAAATTATTATTTAAAAATTTTCTACACATCTTCCTTCAAATTCAGAAGAGGAAGAATGAGCTGATGAAAGCTTATGTGATTAAACAGAGTATGTTAACACTGAACATCTAATCTTGCCTGTAATAAACAGTGTTCTAAAGATAGACCTCGATCACTGCCATAGCTTTAAAATCCTCTGCAGCACCTACCACATCACTAATGTCCTGTGGATATTCAGAATACATACAGTTATTCATTAAATAATTGATGTTATATTGTTAACATATAATAAATTCTGAATTTTCACAGGAACTTTGGATTCTATATAAATACCTAACATACTGGGGTTCACGGAACAGTAAGTGACAGTATTCTTCATTTCATATAATTAAGTTTATTTTCTAATAAGCCATTCACAGAATAATTCAAATCTTAAAGGAACTGTTCTTATATGTTTTCCCCCACAAATTTTTTTTTATAATCAAAAAGTCCTCAAAAACTGGTATGGGAAGTAGAACACTCAGCACTCTTCTTTATTCACAAATTTAAAAATTTCAATTCTACAAATACTATATGATCAAAAGAAAGTAAAATTCAATAAATAAAACTTAACATCTTCTGCCGTGACTTCAAAACAATTTCTTACTTGTCACAGAATTATATTTTATCTCTATCTCTAAAATAAATAATCTTACAACAAGTAACAATTTGGTTAAAATTTTGTGATTTTATAATCCCTTCAACAATATTCATTAACACCTTCCTATAAAATCTATGTGGATCAAAAATACATTATCCCAGTTTCAAAAAGTGATATGACCAAATGAACAGAAATACTAGTTTAAGTAAGTTATAACAAGTATGAAAGAATGTAAGTCAAAATGTTAACAGTGATTATCTCTGAGTGTAGGGAATACAGGTAAATCATTACTTTCATTACTTTTTTTGTTCCTTTTCTGGCTAGCTATATTTCCAATTTTTTTAACAATGAAGATACAAAAGTATTTAAGTGGACAGCCTCCCTATGATGAATTCATCACATACATTGGCAGATATGCCCCTTTAGACCCCTGAAAGTCAGTGACAAAAGCAAGATAGTAAGGCTTAAAAAGAAATGACTAATTTAAAATAAATAAACTTAAAAACAGAGGGGAGAAATCCTAACTTCTCTTAATAAATATAGCTAAAAATTATATCTCAAATCATCCTGCATCTTCTTAATTACCAAAAAAAAGTAATTTACAAAAACATTTGTACTATTCTCAGCACTACCATCACTTTAAACATTATTTTCTAAAAAGTATTTTAAAAGCCCAGACAAAATTATTAGCACTTACAGCTAATAATTACTTACTGCTGTAAGACCTTCGTTATTACAAATGTTGACATCAGCACTGTATTCTAACAATTTACTCATGCATTTCTTCTGCCTGAAAAGAAAAACAGTCACAGATATATTAACAGGCATTAAAAAATAATGGAGTCTCTAGGTGTCACAAGCAGCCAAAGGGCTGTGTGATTCAAACCCACCAACAGGTGCCTAGAAGCAGAGCTTCCAATTGGTTCTTCCCAGTTTAGTCATGGCCAACAAAGTGAAACCAGAACAGACCTGAATTTTTCAAATTTTTAAATCATGGGTGTACCAGGAAGGATAACCAGACAGGAAAAAGTGCCAGCTGATGCCTTGGTATAAAGTTATTCTCCTTCTTAGAAAAGAAGGGCAGCATGTGCAGGACATACAATCATCTCTCTTGAATAGTAGAATCAGAAACAGCAGTGCCTGGCTCAAAGATGATGGCCGACTAAGCTGCTTTGAATGTGTGTCACTCTCCACAGTCTAACAAGAGCCCAGTCTCCTGCCTTAGGCTTCTGCAAGGGCTCACTATGCCTCTGCCAAGTCTCTCAGCCCAGGGCTTCAACCTGTAATTTTTCCCATTCCAGTTACTGTTCCAGTACAGCACCACATTTTACAAATTTGAGTCTGTTCCAATTTCGCTGTTTGAGCCATGACTGAAGTGATTAAAACTGGTTCAAAGCCCTGCTTGGAAGATAGGTCTGGCGATGTGCTTCTGAAACATTACAGTCTTAAAAATCTTATGCAGAAGTTCTATTTTGCACACACGGGGCCAATATAAGTCATAAATGGCTCAACGGCAATTAACAAGAAGAACAAAATAAACAAATGACAAATATTTTACTAAATTTTGTATCAGTCCACAACTACAGTATTTTTTTTTTAAAGAAAACTCTATATAACATTTAAAATAAAATATGGAATTATTACTAGGGCTCTAAGATAATAGGATAAAAAATGGCACAATCAGGTTTCATGTCATTGGGACAAATTCATCACTCAAAAGTAAGATAAATTTCTAGTGTTGAATGAATATTTGCATAGCAATTTTCATTAGAAATTTAAGACAATGTGATTTTAATGGATGGTGTGGTATAGTAAATTACTTTGTGTGGCTTTTCTATCCATAAGTCTTTGTAAACTCCAAGGTGGGATTTTCTATGAGCAACTGAGGAGCTCCTGATTGCTGAAGGTGTCCACCTGGAGTATTTCTGTTGGGAGTGGCACAAAACAATGTTCTGGGAGGTGCCCACTCTCTCTCAGGTGCTTAGAGTTCTGATGCTATA